TTTAAATATATTTATATGATTGCAAATAAAACCAGAGTTTCTACATAATACAGACCTTTTAGTTTGATAATCCTGTTTGTTTTGATGTAAACAAAGGCATCAAATGACATGAAGGCACTAATTAAATAAAACAGTCCGTTAAAAACTCCCTCTCTGGTTTGGCCATTCTGAGTTTTTCTGGTTTAACCTGTTTTAACATCAAACCTAATCCAGCTTTTTCAAAAAGGTTGAAAATACAAAGTTAGATTTTATTCTGAACTGAGATAATCCTGACTTATTTCAAACGGTGAAAGAGAAAGAGGGGTTTTATTCCTGGAGGTTGAACAGAACTGCAGCTTCTAGCTGAGACATTCTAGTTGGGAGGTTCTAGTTGGGAGGTTCTAGTTGAAACACTCTAGCTGAGACATTTTAATCTAGACTCGCTCTGCAGGTCAGACTGTTTGCTGCTTCGCTCCTCATGGCGTCTTCATCTCAGCTGCTGCTGCTTTGGCTTCTGCTGTTAAACGTTTCTTCTGTGTCGACAGATTCTAGTAAGTTCAAACTAATCATGTAAATGTCAAACTGACGCTCAGCTTCTCTGATGGAGAAATGTTTTAGTCAGTAAAGTTTAAGGAGCCTCTTATTAAACCTGCTGGTTTGTTCTGCTGGATTAAAACAGACTCCACCAGAGGAGAGTTGGTGTTTTGTGTTGATTTCATTAATTTCAGTTTCCAGAAGTATTTTAATCAAATGCTGGTTGATTCTGTCCAGAGCCGATATAAACTGTCCTTTGCTCCAGTTTTAATCAGTTTCTGCTGTTTTCTCTGAACATTTCTTTGCTGCTGAAGCTGAAGGTCATTTATTTGTTTGACTGCAGAATTTATTTCTTACATGTTTCTGAGTTTAAGATTCTTAACCGTTAAAAAACTTCATGTTAATCGTCCCTGAAGCTCCAATCATATTTGTTGATGAAACCAGACAGTCATGGTATCGGTTGGAGCGGATGTTTCCAGCCGCACTGAGCAGATTCTCCCTCCAGCGAAGGCAGCTGGTGGCTCTGGACATGTTGGAGCAGGTTATCATCCTCCAGGTTCATTCATGTAGAGAGAGCGCGTGCTGCAGCAGGAACAGGAAGGCATCGTTCACCACACGGGGATTACCAAACAAGGCGGTTCTGGTTGGAATAACAACAACCAGCCTGGTAGAGACCAACTTTACCAGAGAGATGAGTTTAATGAGTTAAAATGATTTGACTTGAACTGAAGCTGCTTATCCTCCTCAGTTTCTTTGCTGCTGCTCTAATCAGGATGTTGGTCAAAATGCTTGTTTTCCAGAGAAACTATGTTTGTATTTCTATTCAAATCCATCATCTACATCAGAGTCTCACTGCTTTATGGTCTAGAACAGCTGAGCTGAACCAGATCATTTAAATATTCTGTAACTTATTTATATTCATCAGTGCTTCTTTTGGTGAAACCCAGAAACCAGAGTCTTTAATTTCTTGTTTCCTCTCCTTCAGATCAACACAGCATCACAGCAGAATCAGGACAGAACATCATTCTGCCTTGTCAGGTCTCTGACCGCTCACCTGTCCTGGTTGTAGAGTGGAAGAAGGCTGAACTGGGTTCATGCTGTGTTCTGCTGTTCAGAGATTCACAGTTTGACTCAGAACACCAGCATCCATCTTTTAAGGACCGGGTGGATCTGCAGGACAAGAACGGAGACGCGTCTTTGGTTCTGAGGCACTTGACGACTGATGATAGCGGGACATACGAGTGTCGAGTCTTTCTGACTGGAGCAAAAAGAAACTTGGTAGCAGAGCCTAACATCATCATCAACCTGACAGTTACTCCAGGTGAGTCTGTTTGGGTTTGGATCAGAGATTTCAGCAGATTCATTCTGCTGAGTTTCACTCAACCAAAGCTGAGCTGGAGGGTAACAATGTTTGATAGGTCTAAGACATACAAACACACCATATAAGAAATATACCATGTAAAGGACACAGCAGGAAAAGAATCCTGTTATTTTATCACTAACTCCACTTGTTTTCACATTTTCAGTGTAGGAATCAATCAGCAGATGATTTAATCTGTTTATTGATTACAGAACATCGTCATATTATCCACTGTTCAGTGCGTCTTCGTCCATATGGACCAAGTCGTCCTTGTGTGTCAGAGGTTGGTCTGACCAGCTGATAGCTGACCACAGCAGTGTTAAATGTCTTTAGCATCATGCTAAGAAGGCATGGAATGATGCAAGTTGTGAAAAGGCAAAAAAGGATCAGAACACCCAGAATAGATGCTCCATTTCTCAACAGCAGGTTCCTCCAGGATCCTGAAATGATCCATGAAAGAAAAAGGATGTGATCCTTGTGTTCCACTGTCCACATGATGTTTAAGTTCCTCCAGTTCGTGTAGAGCGTCAGAAATAGTTCCACCAGGTCCATTGTTGTACACACATTTTCTGAGGGATCCTGGTTTGGCTCCTGCCAAGGAAATGATCTCTGGTAATTTCACAATGTCTGTGGAAAAGGAAGCACATAAGTCGCAGGTGAACAGTTCATAGCATCCAAAGGTCCTTGTTTGACCGTTCCCATCGGAGTGGAACAGAATAATCCCTTTTTCTCCACTTGTTGTTCCTCCCTGCTGGAAAGCTGTGCTGTGGGTGTGGACTCAGGCCATAGAGACACATCTGCTTCTCATCAGTGATGCTCCCTGGTCAAAGACCTGAGTTGTGTGTGGCGTAGGGCAGCTGTGCACACACATAGCAGTTGACTTCGTTCCCTCATAGGCGGTCCTGTTCTTCAGTTGCCACCACAGATTGGTGCCGTAGTCATGTGGGTGTCTCTGAAGGGGGAACACGTTTGCTTCCTTCTTTGTCCTGATGAAGGTGAAGGTGAGGTCACTTCCTCCTCCAAACATCATTCATGCTGCAGTCACGGCGCAGTAGAGGCTCCACCTGGCATATGGAGTCCCCATTGCTGCTCAGCATACAAAGATGTCAGAACCCCAAACTAAGGAGTGAGGATGTGTTGGTTTCTTCACTGGCGTTGAGACGAACCGCCCTATTGGTCAGGAACCCCTTTGTAGCCAGAACTTCCCCGCCACTCAGGATTAGGGGTCCAACACTCTCTGCAGCTTGCAGTGACTGAGATGCATCCAGCTGGGTCTTTCAGCAATCTTTACAGCTGTTGGTGTGGTCATCAGGACTTGGAATGGTCCTTCCCACCGTGGACTCGCCCCGTTCCTTCGTTTGATGACTTTAATGTAGACCAGGGGTCTTAAACTCAGTTTACTCGGGGGCCAATGGAGGCAGAGTGTGGGTGAGGCTGGGCCGCATAAAGGATTCAACAAAAAACATTTAAAAATATCCTCAAATGTCATCAACATTTAATTATTTCTACAATACATGAACTGCAGGCTTTGGCTTTGACAAAGACATGATGAGGGTGTGACAAATTTTAGGCTGCGTTAACACTGCAGCCTGAAGTGACCCAATTCCAATTTTTTGTCAAATCGGATGGTTTTTTTGCTGGGTCGTTCACGTTCTGCAGTCTGAACAGGCAAACGACCTGAAAGTGTCCCGCATGCGCAGTAGAGGGCGCCATAGCGTCAGCGTTCTCAGTGTTCTGCCAACCGCCAAAAAAAGAAGAAGTGTTGTTGATTCTGCCGTCCAGAAACGACTCGGCTCCATGTCTGAGCTGGAGGAAGGACAGGGCAGAGTCCTGCTGTCCTGCTGCAGCTCTCTGCCCTGTCCCCTCTGAGGAGGACCGACCCGTTAGTCTCTGTTGTCTGGTTCTGTGGCTCATCTTTGTCTTTCAGCTCAGTTTCTTCTTCACCACATCAGCTTAACTTACAGATACAAACAGCATCACATCATCTGCAAACAGATGAGGATCAGACAGGATGTAAGCTGGAGCTGAAGTCAGGCTTAGAGATCCAGGCTCCTGGCTGAGTGAGTTTCCCTCTGAATCTCTGAGTTTCTCAGATTGGTTTTGGTACATCGGATGAAGTCCAGATGTCGGCTGATGCTTTTCCTGAGACAGAGCCTGGTCTGTCCACTGCTCTCCACCTGATGGTTACCTGACAGGTCAGCCGTCCAGGGAAGTTTCTCATCAAGCCAAGTGATTTCTTGGACCTGGAATCTGAATGATCATGTTCAGGGTTTATTCCAGATGTTGATTAATGATGGGAACTGAGGGAAGGATGGCAGAGATGGTGGAAGCTGTGGAGCTGCAGATGGAGACGTCTCAGCTTGGTTTTGTTTGATAAAAACAGAACAGATGGTTTTAAGAGAAGCTGATCATGTGGTTCAACAATCAAAAACTCTGGTCATGTTGGGGAAAATCTCTTCCTGCACAACAAAGAAAGACCTGATTTGGCACTGAGCACCGAGTGGAGCCAGTTTCCACTGACAGCCTCGTTTTGCCTCCCTGTGACAGAAATGTTTGAAGATGTTTTGTTCTTCAGTGTCGACCCGACGCCTCGTTCTCACTGCTGGTTCTCCTCCACAGAGTCAAGGATGGTCTCAAGCAGAGGAAGCAGAGCCGGATCTTCTGGACTGGTGATCGGACTGGCAGTTCTTCTTCTTCTTCTTCTCTTTACAGACTGATTTAGATTTAATGGGTTTTAGAATCATTTATAAAGCTTAGAGGTAAAAATATCCACCCATCACTGAATGTCAATGAATTTTTCCAATTCAATATCAATTTGGAAAAGCCCTTTGAATCGATTAGATTGGTTGGTGTTAATTTTAATCAGAAAAAGAAGAATTAAAATCTTTTGACTCGTTTTATTCTCTCTTCTGCCCGGATTCCTTGATGCCGTCATTGTTTCAGCTGAACCATAAAGACAAAGACAAACTTTTTCCCAAGTCCAACATTTATTAGACAAACAACTAATGAAACTGACAAAACTCAATAAAATCACAAACCAGCATCCAGTTCGATATTTACCTCACTCCACAGACATCCACACACCAAGACAATCAAACGGGGAACCATTTCACCGACGCACCGTTCCCCAGAGACAGCATCACGGGTAAACCTGGAGCGATCTGAGGTTAAGGTTCCTGGTCCTATAGTTTTAGAGGAGGGCGTGTTTCCCTCCTCTGTTCTAATCAGGGGACCGTCTTTAGCTAAGTTCATTTAAATCTAGTTCATGTTCCAGTAAAAACCTGTTTCTAAGATCAAAGAAGTGTTATTTTCTTCTGAATGGAGACAGATGTTGTTATGGCCCAGAGGAAGCTCTGCTCTGTTAGGACCAGATTGTTTTACACCAAACCTGATCAAAGTGGTCAGAAGGTTAAACTCACACAGAGCCATACCCTGTGACTGGCTGCTCAGTCCACAGAGAGACTAGCTGTGTTTTAATTTATAGAGAACTACAAGCTAAGTTATTTAATTCAATATGTTTCAGTAGAAATATCCTACATAAGAGATCACGCTGATTAAACCATGGATATAATTTGAAGTGAACTTTCTAATTTAAAACACTATTAATTTTATTTAATATTGAACATATGGTTAGGATTTACAACTAGCATATTTTACATTTATTTTCTCAACATTGGCCAGGGGTTCATGTGTCAAAGGTCACAGTCAACGCTCCACATTTAAGTGTGTGTTCACATTTACATACAGTTAATTTGAATGCATTACTTCATATTGAGCACATAGTGCTGCTGTTTCATTTCCAGATATTTTAGCAGCAATGGGAATAAAGGAGTTAAAACTAATGGCTACTAAAAGCATCACTTTTTGCAATAATGTTGTAATCTGCTGGGATCTTGTTTGAGATTATTTTTAAATTTATTTTTACCATTTTTTGTTCGTCAGTTGTTTTTATTTACCTCTAGTTTTTCTTCTTCCTTGGTGATTCTGGTTGGGTTTGTTTCTTAGTCCTTATTAAATCAGTTTTGTTTCTGTTCAGTTCGGTTTCTCCTCATGTCTTTGTCTCTCTTGTTTATTTTGTTTCTTAATGTTAGAATTAATTCCTCTTCCTCCTTGAAACTTTCTCTCTCTGACAACTTTCCATGATTTTGTAAATTTGGATAATTTAATGCAAAGTTGGCATTTTTAATGGACTTTCAATACAACTAACATTTAGAGCAACTTTGCATTAAAAGTGTCTTTTTTTTTACCGAATCACATTTCATGATAACAGTCACAAACATTCATAAGGACTTTATGTTTATGACAGTGTCATATCAGTCTTCAAATAAAGTGTTACAAAGTCTTAACTGACATAATAATTAAACCTTAAAGTATTTCGGTTTTGCTTTTATTCCTGCAGAACGACTTCCTGACGTTTTCAGTTTTCCAGAAGTTTCTCTCAGGCTGCAGGTTGAAACATGTTGAATCATTTGGTTTTCCCCTGAAGCTCCTCTTGTTCCCGCCTGCATGAACTCATGTGTTCATAAAACATTCATCAACCGTTCCAACGAATTTCCTAAACAAAAAGAACATTTTGTGGAATCGCCCAAAGCATTTTTTAGGCCAGAGCAGAAAAACATATTATGAATCTTCTGTTTGCAGCAGCAGCAGCAAACAGCAGCTCCTCCAGCCAGCTCCTTCCTCTTCCTCCGTTTGGTCCTCCTCATCTTCATCACTTCTTGTGATTTCTACATCCACATAGATTTCACTGCGTTCTGGTTCAGTTTGAAAAGGTTTAAGACGTCATTGTTTTGGCTGGATGGAGCTAAAATCAGACCATTAGTCGACATTTACCCAAAAAATAAACACATTAATAACATTTTATTTTTCTTATCTGCAGCAGATACAAAACTTCAAAATGGGTTAAAACATCTGAACATTAAAACAAATAATGTTACATTACACATGGAGCAATAATTACATTATTTAGATATAAAAGCAGATTTGTGTGAATTAAAATCTGCTGTTGAGTAAAACTCAGTGTGGTTCTGATCCACTCCTGGTTCTGCTGTGGTTTTACCCCACCTAGTGGCGGAGAGCTGGTATTACAGCTCAGCTGATGTCTCTATTCTCCTTCAGGTCTCAGAGTCTCTCTGTGCTTCAACATT